CTTTCTGTCTCCCCTATCATTTGGCCACGCTTCTACGAGCTTCCCACAGGTGTAGAAGGTAATTGTCAATTTCAGGAGTGGTGTCCGTTCTTTCCACTGATTTTGTTGCCGCTTCGTATGCCTCGCGGATCCCTTTACTCCATTCCGCAAGTGCTTGAATCAGTTCCACTTAGCAGTCTTGTTTAAAGGCATTCCAGTTGGTAATTTTTCCAGGCCGAGTTTTCTTCGCACTTTTGCGGTGGTGACTTACATCCAAAGAATAAAGTGGTCACTGCCAAGGTTCTCTTCAGTGTTTTCCCAATATACGTCATGGGTGTTTTTTTTTACAAATGTGATGTCTGGGCACGTATCTCTGCTGACACTGTTCTCCATTCTGGTTGGCTTCGTGAAGTCCGTGACCAATTCGAGGCCTGCGTGTGCTGACACTTGAGCTGAATTCTTCCCTTTGCTTGTTTCTTTTACACATCCTCAGCTCTTGTGTTGCGCGTTGAAGTCTCCTGTTACCACCAAGCCACTTTTCCTGGCTAACACGCTCGCTGCTTTTATTAGTGGCTAAAAATCAGGGTTCCTTTGCCTAGGTGGGCTGTAACGTTCATATTGAACATGCTCCCCTTACCCTTATTTTGGGGTATTATCTCGGTTAACACGTGCTTGATGTCAGTGTCTAGTGCCTGGTGTTGGATTGCCGTTATCGCTTTGAATACCAGAGTCGTCGCTTTTCCCTCTGTCTGGCTCAAGAATGCGTCGTACACTGTTGGGCTGGGGGAGTAACCAGTCTCCTGCAGTGCTACGATATCGGGTCTGACAAGGTTCGTCTGCATATATTGCAGATGGGTGTTTTGCTTCTTGCGGAATCTACGGCAGGTCCACTGCAAAATTTCTAGTCTTTCTGTGCTTCCCTTAGTGGTTCTGGCCATTATGCATGATTAGACACACTGTCGCTTTTGGATGAGGACAGAGGCTTCTTGTATGCCTTTTTCTTGATTTTGTCGCTGTGCGGTTTCTTTCTGAGAGCACTCTCCACCTCGAAAAGTTGGCTTTGCAATTGCTGAAGCTGCTGTGTCAGCTGCGACTGTGTTTGTTCTTGTTGCAGCTGCATCTGCAGCTGCAGTTGCTGTAGTTGTTGTTCCAACGGCGGTTGTGCTGTTTGTACGCTTTTTATGAAAGCGGTGTGATCGACCCTCTGAGCGGTCACCGGTGACACGTGCATGTCCTTTTCAAAGTTCCTCTTCCCGGCTGTGGCACCCACTTCACCCTGGCCGCCCGCGTCAATATCTCTGTCTTTGATAACTTTCAATAAATTATCTACCTTGCGGGTGAGTTTGTTGCATTCGGTGCGCGTAACTTCCAGCTCCCGCCTGATGCTTGCGCATTCGTTACATTTGCATATGGCTTGTGTGGTGTGTGTGTGTTAGCCGGAGCTTTGGTATTGACAGCTTTTTCTTCCCAGCCTACCTTTTTGGTTTTTTTTGTTCTTTTCTTCTCTTGGTTTGGGTTCCTTTCGTCCTCCTGCTACCTCGTTGTCGACGTCGAACGGGACCGGCTGCGGCTCGCCGAGGTGTCCCCCTCGGAGCTGAACAATCGTCGCTTCCCTTTTCTATCACTGCCGGCCTTGTGGCTACGCCGGGTATTCCTCCCGCCGTCCTTTACTTTGGTGTGACAGGGCGGGCGTCTTGCCTTTTTCAGATGTTCTTTGCACTCGCGAACACCAGTGAGATGCGCTTCACCACATAGCATGCACTTGGGCACACAAGTATGCCTCATTTTGGGGTTGCACAGTCCGCACTGTCGGCACACACGCAGTTCTGGTGTCAGGGAATCTTCCGAATGGTGATCAGGTTTGAGGCAAATGCAGCAGACCTGCCTTGTGGGTCGGTATAAGTGACGGGGTGCCTCACCTCCGTAGTAGTTCACGAACCTCGGTACCACCTTCCCATCGAAAGTAATCACCGCTGTCTTGTATTTCCCTAGCACTCTAGCTTGTAAGATATTGACTCCTTGCATGCCGACTCAAAGATGCACCATGAGCGTCTCCGGTGGTGTGTCCACGTCGATGCCGTTAATGACTCCGCGAACGACTCCATCTGGGGTCGCTATGTATGCGTTCACCTCGTACGACTAGCTGTCGAGGGTCAGCTTAGTGATTCTTCGTATGAGATTAGAAGCTTCCTCCTGGGGTGTACTAGCAATGATGATGTTTGATCCCTTTCGAAGCCTTACAAGAAGGTCTTCATCCTTGCATGCTTCGCTGTTTTCACAAACAGCGGCGATCGCTCGCGCCACTTGATGGTTGGTGAAAACCCGCACGATCAGTACTTTCTTTGACCTGATGATCACTTTGATGTCGTTCTTTGAAAGCGGATGTAATTTTCGATAGAAGGGCCGCTTCGTTTCCTCTTTGATTTCCAGTGCATTCTTCCTACGTTGTAAAAGACGTCGTGTTCATTGTTTCGCTGTTCTCCGGAACCTCCCGCAGTCCCCGTCGCTGTGGTTGCATTTCCTCGCTTCAGATTCTTGTGATTTCGCTTGCTCAGGGCAAGCTCCCAGTTTGAGTTCGGCTCATCATACGTCTTCGATCGGTCTGCGAAGATCTCTGACGACACATTCATTCAGCACGATATCGACCGAGCGAATCCTTGAAATGAATGAATGCGTGGTTCTTGAAGGTAAAATGGTACCTTATTCCTCTCTGCCCTATTCGCAACACGGCGCAGTGCCTTGTAGGGTATGCGAGATCAGGAAGATAAAAAATTACACATCTTCCACTAAAAGAAACCATGTTGGCGTGCGAAACAGCGCTGATGTTCACATGCGCTCACATTTGTTGTTTCTGCTTAGTTTCTTCCTTGTGTGTTTCATTTGTGTGTGGAGTTATGTTTATGATACGTACCGCTAATGTTACCCCTTTTTCATTTGTGTGGATTACCGTGTTTGTGCCGCAAAGTGAAGAACCAGTGCTGCTAGAAGAGTGCAACGGGAGGGAGCGAACGCAGCATTATATACGAGCGCACAGCTGCGAAGAGATAAGCGGAAGAGATAAGCGGAACACTCTACCACATGCTTCACCCCACCTTCTTCCACCTCTTCGCGTTCACGCGAGGAGAGGGAAGAGTTGGCGCAAGCGGTGTGAGGGTGGTCACGCACACACCGAATTGAACCAACACCACCCAGATAAGTTCAGGCAGGCCTCTTCACTGCCGCCGTGACCTCACGCACCTGGCCCGTCGACGCGCGCGCGCGCGAGCCGCTGCGGCGCGGACGCTTCCCGCGCGGCTACTACAGATGAGTAAAACATTAATTTCTGCATTGCCGCGATATAGGCATAGAATATAAAATTTCTGAACGAACGTTATTTCACATCAAGATGAAATAGTGCTGTTCCGCTCCATCTTGGCGGACGTAACTGCTTCAGATTGCACTTAAAAGAAACGTACACAAGTCCCGGGCAGCTGGCAAAACATTTATTACAATGTAAGTACCATGTATCACAAGGAACATACAAACTTCCAGCTTTTAGCAGTCATATTGACATCTATGACTACATTGTGCAACACAAAAACCGGAACTGACAAGATTAAGCAAAAAAAAGAAGGCGCTAGATTATTCGTTATAATGTTTCAAAATTTATCACAGTGAAAAACTTTTAGCATCTGGTACAGTCATATTCACAGCCATAATCACATTATGGGGCAAACAGAAAAACACAACTGCTCTAAAACGAAAGAAACTAGCTACTGGAGTATTTATTACAATGTATAAAGTGTATCACAAGGAACAAACATTTAGCATTTGGAACAGTCATATTCAAAGCCATATTCACATTGCGGGACAAAAAGAAAATACGAACCGGCCAGCTTAAAAAAACCAGCCATTAGTAAAGCTTGCTTCATAATTTAGCGAAGGGGCCACTAGCAAAGTTTACTGTAGCGTTAGCAACTTTCTTTGCTTTGTACAGGCTTTTTCTTTCATGACACTGTCATTCCTGCAAGCGACATAGTTTTTTAGAAGCGTGTTGACAGCTGGTTTTAGAATGTTCTTGAGTACGGTATCTGGATGGTGGCCACTTGCACACATGTCCAACTCCTCGCCTCGCTTAGTAGGAACTGCATGATGCTCAAGAGGACCATACTTTGGTTGGCTTCTGCATGAAACCGCTGCTCCTGTTCCTTACTGACAAGGTGCTCCAATACTATCTTAGTGCCAAGAACAACATTAACAACAAAAGGCTGCGGAAACTTCAAGCCGCCTCTGCTCATGCTGTCAATGAGTACGTGCTCACTTTGCTGCAGTTCTCGGTCAGTGATCATGAAGCTGTGACTGACAATCCTCACATGGATGACGTTTAATTGCAGCATGTGCACAATAGCCTGCAATGTATGCTAACGCAGGCACGTCAGTTTGTGATGCCTTCAGGTCACTTTGGGTGAGTTTGATGGCATACTTTGCTATTAGCATCTCGGCATTAAGCTCCTGTTCCTTAGGTGCCAATGACAGCGGCATGTCTTCCAGCTTTAAAGTGTCCTGCAAGCGAATCTTTGTCTCCGCTTCGAATACTTCTGTGATTGACACATTGTAGTGAGATTCACACATTTGGCGGTACTTCCCGAACCTGGCCTCAAGGCGATCTGTTTGAAACTTCCCCAAAAGGACGTACCTAAAGCCCAGCTCATCAAGGCAATACCGTGACAGCTCAATGAACGAATACGTGCTTAGCCGGAGAGCAAGGTGGGTCTCCTTTGTCAAACCTCCAGCCGTGGTTCCCCTCCGGCTCCACCTGTCAAGCCAGGTAATGAACTGATCAAGGTACTGAACTTGCAAACAAGACATATCCTTCACAGGCTGCTGATAAACATCACGTAGTCTGTGCCCCTTTTCTGGAGTCTTAACATTTACAATGCTCCACCACCTGACAATCAAATCAATAAAGGTGGCCATTTCCTGCAGTGCAGCCAAATGCAATTTCAGCGCTTCAAGTGACGAAGCTGATGACACAAAGCTGTTAAAAACTTTCAACACCAATTTCACATTTTGACGCTCTAGGTGGCTTGGATAAAGTGCTTTATAGCTCAGACCATAGGCAACCTTTGCAAGCTTGCTTTGTTCACTCTGGTACAGCTTCCTCAAAAAAGTAAACGAAGCTTTTTGGTCCTCACCACTTCCACAGCTTTCAAAAGGAGGATACAAAAACGACTTGTCATCATCCTTCTGATTGAGCCAATTGTTGCGTATACACTTGAGCAAGTGAACAGTGTCCACAACATGAAACAATGGCTGCTGCGGGTTGGCAGGATGAGGAAAAACAATCCCTGGCTCATTTTGCTCGCTAAACAGAGACATCATTTTCCTGTTTATGGCATTGTTGTCTGTTACGACCGCAACAACATGCAGACCAGCACTTTCAAGCCTCATGATTAGTGTCTTTAGAACATCATCCAGCTCCGTTGCTGTGATACGAGTTACCGGAAGGATATGAGCAACATCTTTATAAGATGAAAGCAAAGGCTGTACCATGAACACGTGCGCTGTCTTTGCTGGTTCCGCACAATGCGCAGCAAACCCTGTTAGGCGGCCACCTTTATATTCAAAAAACTGTTGCAGGTGTATTTCATCAAGCATGAGAGTCACATTTTTTTCATGAGGCTTCAGAATGGTTGCTCTGTGCTTAATGTACCTCAGAAAACCTTCTTCGCACTGCTCTTTCGATGGGCTCACATCATGTGCAGCACAAACTCGCTTGATGGTAGTGTCATGCGGCAAGACAAGCTTGTTGCTGTGGCGAAAAAACTTGTAAGCATGTGGAGAAATTGTGTGCAATATACTGCTAAAAACTAAAAGCTCTTGCAGGATACCGCACGCCACTACTCTTCTTTGTCAGCAGCTTGCACTGCTCCTTCAGGAAGATTAGTGCGTCAGCCCTCTCATCATCATGCAGCTCATCATCACAAATGTCATCCAGCAAAAATAAAACAAGCCTAAGCACTCCTCCCACCTTGTCCTCCTGTTGACGGGCCTTCTTTTCACAATATCGCTCCACGCTGTCTAGAAGGTTGTCCAGCACACGGACATCACGGACTTTGTCAGGAATGCACACATCATCCGACACCAACGGAGCGCACTTAAAATACACGGAAACGGACAGATCCTCTGTAACCACCACAGATACAAGCATCTCCGGAGCTTGCAACGCCGCTTCGATGTGGGCGACGATTAGGCACGTCTCGCAGGCTGTTGTACACCAAAACTTCTTATTTGGACGCTCGTTAACCCGAGAAATCAGTTCACGCAGATTACAAACTTTGTACTGTTTTTCTTCTTTTTGAAACGCTGCTTGGGACTCGTGTATGGCTTTCTGGAGTAGCTCATTTTCAGTCCGCTTCCTTTTCAGTTCAGGCTCTTCTCGCGACATGCGCGAATCCGAGATATACGAAGGGCAGTCTGGAAAAATGGCTGGGAAGGCGTCTGGAGTCAGCCGTGTCAACTTCATAGGAGCTTCAATGGTTCGTCCATCGCAGTCCGTATACGTTGACGTTGTGCGCAGGTGTTCCGACTTGAAGTGACGCTCGCAAACCTGCGCGTGACCGGAACAAAAAAAACACCAATTAGAATCTCCTGGGATAATTACGAGAAATCTCGTTAATTCTGAAGGGGTACGCTCGATGCAGCTTACCTTGGGGTCCTTAAACAGCCTCACGTCGACGTCGCTCCGTCGCACAGCCCGCTGCCATTCCACTCTTCGCTTAGCTTCTCTCGGAAAAGAAAACAAGCGGACTTTCGGACCATTCTCATAGTTCCCTCGACAGTTGGGTACACAACACCGCCCCATGTCTCAGGATACATGTCTCAGGTCAACAAAATAAATTCGGCGGAAGCGGTAACTGCAACACGGAACAGTGCGCACGGCGTGGCCGCGTGGTCTCGTTCAACGACAAAGTGAAATAATTGTCATGGCTGCCGCCACCTGTCGGAGACTCGGACAACTTACGGCTCTGCCGCAAAGCTACGGGCTACCACGGTGCTCGCTCTCTCGAGAGAGGTCGCCCTCCTCCTTGCCTGTCAACATGCCCGGACACGCCGAAACGCTGCTGGTACGGCGTGAGCTAGGTGGTGTTGGCGTGAGAGGCTCGGGCAAAGTTGAATGACGTCACACGAAGGCGCGCCGGAGTGAAGAGGCCTGAACTCATTTAGGTGGTGTTGATTGAACTCAGCCTTATGCTGCTTCGCATCTAAATAAAAGTAGAAAGACTGAGAAGGACAGAGCACTCGGCGCACAGGGTTGTCAAAAAGACGAAAATTATTGGCCGCGAGATCGAGCAGGGCGCCGCCTGGGGGCAGCTGGCGAAAGTAGCGAAGTGTGGATTGCTCCGTGCGTCGTCTGCTAGAAACGTCGTGTTTCTATGTGCGTGCACGTCATGCACGTTCTCAAATTGTCATTTGTCGGGTCATGTCGGCGCGAGTGTAACCGTTTCTACGTATGCCTGAAACGACGTACGAAATAACTTGGTCCTGCCCGGCTGCTAATGCACTGTAGTAAGATTGGCGAGTGCAACTTTTCAGAAAACTGTTTATTGCCTTCCTACCCTCAATTCACCAGAATAATTTCAGAGTGGGTGCCGCTTCTGTCTCAAGCAAATTGCGAAATGCTCTTGGTATCCTGCGCAACGTGAGCACTGGTAAATGGTGTGTGAATGCAGTGGTTTTAGCGACGTGGTTGTAGAAAAAAACATGCACTAGGTTACGCGCTTGCGCACTGTTGATAGGTGTACAACTACAGCTCTGTACTTCATTCATCATGCGAGGAGCCTTAGTTGTGTTTAAGGGGCCGTGGTACCACTACATAGATATATTACTGTCACATAAACATTATAGCTTCGGTAGTTAAACTGTATCTAAAGCAGAGTTTCCGTGCGCAACCATGTGCTTAGATTTTACAACGATTCAGAGAGTCTAAACAATGAAATGAAATAAGATGGAATGCCTTATATATGTAATGTTTTTCACTAAAATTTCATTTTTGTGAATTGCCTTCAGCGTTTGTTTGGTATGTTTAGTACCCGATGGAAAGCTGTGCTCATTTTTTGTCTAAAGAAACAATGATGCTTGTCCCAATAACTGGGCCTTATTTGTAGCACTGTCATGCACGTAATCCATTGACGAAAGCTTTCTGCTGAACTCTTTTACAATAGTTTCATATTTTTACTAGTGAACATGAGCGTGACACGGGGTAAATGCAGTGCAGCGCAAAACGCTGTCAGCCATCAAGCCTTCCTGACTTGACTTATTGAATATCCCACATGTCATGGTGAACAGTGCAAGAGAAAAAACAAATCATAAGCGTATAAGGTCCGAACGATAACATTGATCTAATCGCACAGATATGCGGGCTTTCTACGATCTTCCTTTCTCTTTTTTTCTGGTATGCAGATGACAAAGATGTAAATCAGTAGTTCAGTCACGCTACAGCAGTGAGTAGAAGGCAGAACACAAGCTAACCACGTACAAACAACGCAAAAAACACGTGATGTAGTGCGAAAGCGTGAAGACAGTCACCCAGTGCAAGCATCTTTATGAAAAGCAGAATGCACTTTACTCGCGGTAATGTTAATATTGTATGGAATGGGGGACTACCCGGTCACTTGTGGTAGCGTGGTGTAACCGGGTGGAGGAAACGAACGCTGACAAGAAGGGGATACGAAAAACAAACAGGCTTATGGCGCTATTTACACATATTTACAGGAAAGAAAGGTTAGGGGTTTCCCAAACCACGAGCGTGGTGGTTGAACGTTACATAGTTCAGAGCGACGTCCAGCACTCTGCGGCGTCGTTTTAAGCCCTGTCGGGCTCCTCCTCTCCGAGTGGCAACACCAATCACACACACACAGCAGGTGAGGGGGACGAGCATGCACGGTCCACGTGAACGTCCAATATTGAGTCGTGAACACTGCAATGCAAGGTGGCGCCAGCAGGGCTCTTCCTCGTCGTGTGTGTGCCGCTAGTCGAGAGGTCCCACGATCTTGACAGCCTACATCAAAGGGTCCGCCGAACAGCTCGCCTAATTAGCGGGGTGATTTGCGGTGGCCGCCACGGTCTCATCCAAGGAAGATACTGTCTTTGTTGTCCTCTCTCGAATGGTTAACGGCGTCGTGGCGACACGACGTCTCACCCTCGGGCTAGCTGGGACAATGCCTGGCGAGCGTAGGCAGCCCGCCGGTCGGCTACGTGATTGAGGATTAAAAGAGCGCCGCTCTCCCGTCAGCTCTGGCGCCGGTCACAACAGCTTCCCCATCGCCAGTTGAGTCGCCGAGGGCATCAGTCACCGCTTCTGCTCGAAGAGACGACGAAAGGGTCTGTAGTTGAAAGTCAGGAACTCGCATTCGTTTGCCATATGGTCTGGGTAATTGCTCAAATCTTCCACAGCGTCTGGCAGGCTGGGCGCCGAAGGGATTGAGAGCCTCTCCAGTAGATCGGCTTACGCACGATGGCGTCTGCCCAGACGAATCTCCAGGCCAAACTTAACAGCTCCTCCGCCGCCCGGAAAATCTCGGCTGCCCAGCGCTCCCAACCGCTGGGCACGAAGAGAATGGTTGGGGACGAGGACGATGGCCTGGTTTTCACCCTCCAGCTGCGAACTCGTAAGCAACTTCCTAAACCAGCTCACAATGATCGACAACAGCAAGGCAAACCCCACACCACAATACTATGCTGCAGTGAAGCACATTGGACCCGCTTAAAACCCTCCAGGCTTCTCAAGAAACACGAACAAAAGAAAAATCTGTACGCTAAAAGTTTGAGACAAATTGGTGCCGCCAAAGTTACTACAATCCCGGAATAAGACGTAAAAATAAAGTAAACCAAATCGAACCCCTTTGGTCATACCATGCTAAAAGCCGTAAAAAAATGAAGTGGCCTTTCATTCCCTAAAACGGCTCTGTTCAGACGAGTCTATTAAGGCCATCTGCATTGTTGTGCAATTTACCTTTCTTATAACGAACCTTGAAGTTATACTGCTGTAGGGTGAGGCTCCATCGGAGCAAGCGATGATCATTTTTGTGTGACATTTGATTGAGCCATGTCAGGGGACAATGGTCCGTTTCAAAGATGAAGCTTGCTCCGTACAAGTAACATGACAACTTTTGGGCTGCCCAAACCAAACAGGCACATTCCTGTTCGGAAGCGCTGTAGGCTTCTTCTCGGACCGTTAGTTTGCGGCTGGCATAGAGAATAGGGTGCTCTTCTTGATTGTCGTTCCCCTGGCTAAGCACAATGCCCATGCCCCTGTCGCTCACGTCGCACTGAACTATAATTTCCTTAACATAGTCCGGTGCACGTAACACAGGTCGGGAAACGAGTGAGGCTTTCACACCCTGAAATGCGGCTTCTTTGTCCTTATCCTATTTCACGTGGTTGGGCTCCCCTTTTCTTAACGCGTCTGTAAGAGGACTTGCTCGTTGCGAAAAATTGGGGATGTAAAGCTGTTAGTACCCCACAGGTCCCAGGAACGACCGAATATCGGTCTGAGTACGTGGACGTGAAAACCCGGCAATCGCGTCTCTCTTTAGTTCTGCCGGCTGCCTCCTTTCCTGCCCCACAATATGACCTGGGTAAGTGACTTGAGGTCAGCCAAAATTACATTTCTCAGCTTTCATTGTCAAACCTGCCTCTCTCAAGCGCGAAAATACCTTTTTTATGTGCTTGAGGTGGTCCTCCTAGGTGTCGGAAAATATTGCGACATCGTCTAGGTATGGGAGTGCAAAGTCTTGCAGTTCTTTCAGTACAATGTCGATTAACTTTGAAAAGCTGAAAGGCGCATTTTTTAGCCCGAAGCTAAGATCTAAGGGTCTTAAGGTGCCGAAAGGTGAAATGAATGCGGCATAACAGCTGGCACTTTCTGAGAGAGGAACCTGCCAGTATCCTCTTACGAGATCTAGCGTGGGAATGTACTTCGCTGCGCTGACCCTTTCGATGCGCTCCTCCATATTGGGTATAGGGTACAACTGAAGTGACAGTATTCAATTTCCGGTAGTCTACACATGGACGGGGGTCTTTATTAGGGGCTTCCACAAGTATTAGTGGGGACGTGTAGTCACTTTCAGCGGGCTCGATTACCCCAAGCTCTAACATGCGCCGTAGTTCGGCCTTCAAAATCTCTTTCTGTTTTGGAGACATTCGGTATCGCTTGGATCTT